GTTGAAGAGGTGATTGTAATTACCCAATTAACATGGGGTTTTTTCGTAATTTTCTTATATACATACGTTGTTTTAAGGGGTCCTAATTCAAAAAAAAGAAAAAACAAAAAAAACAAAAAAAAAATCCCACAATTAATTAATTTTCTCCATGCATGCATGCATGCACGTACTACAATCAAGAAGGTCTCCTTCTAAGATTCATCTGATCGGAAAGAATCTTCTTGTAATAATCGGACCGGCTCCGATGATAATCAATCCAAACACAGAGCTGCCTAATCGCCTCCCTCTTCTCCTCTTCCATAACCAAAACCCCATCTTCTCTCTCCTTAATCATCTTCTCCAACTCCCTAACCCTATTCTCCGATTCCCACACCTTCTCTCTAAACACCACTATCTCCCCTTCTTTGTCGTCTAGCTGTCTCAACAAGCACTCGAAATCGCCTCTCGCAACCGCCGCCGCTCTATTCTTCCCCGCCGCCCAATCCTTCGCAAACCTCAACTCGCACGCCGCCTTCGAAATCCTGTTCGGAAGATTGGCCGCGCATTCCTCGAATCTCGACGCCACCGAGTCCAGTGCGATTAGCGCGTCGTTAGCGGTTAACGCCATGTCTTTGATGTTCTTTAATTCGATTTCCGACTTCTCGGCTCGTTCTTTGAGGTCGTTGCTTATTTGATCGTAGGTTTCTCTCGTCTTTCGGTACCATTCTTGGTTCTCGACTTGTAGTTGCTCGGCAACCCTAATTCTCCGGCTGAGGATTCGGTATTTGTCCTCTAGCTGTTTCTTGAACTCTTCCGCCATTTCCTCGGCTTTTCTTTCGATGATCTGGAAATTCGTTCTCGTGATTTTCTCCACTTGGGATTTGCTTACGGAGGACTCCTCTTTCTCCTTTTCGAGCTCCGTTTGTAGTTGTCTTTTGTCGTTGAGTAAATCTTCCAATTTGATGTTGAGATTTTTGATCTCTTCTTCCGAGGATTCGATCTTCGTGGACGTGTTGCTTTGATAAGTGCTGAATTTAATTTGTTCGTTCAATAGATTGTTTTTCGCGATGGAAAGGGATTTCTTCAGTTGAGAGATTTCGCCATGCAGCTTCTGTTTCTCTGCGTTTACGGATTGTAAACGTTCGACTTTGCTTTTGAGATTTTTTATCTCTTCTTCCGAGGATTTGATTTTCGCGGACATGGTGTTTTCGTAAGCACTGAATTTGTTACGTTCGTTCGTTAGTTCGTTTTCCGTTACAGAAAGTGACTTCTGCAGTTCGGAGATTTCATCGTGCAGCTTCTGTTTCTCTACGTTTACGAACTGTAAACTTTCGACTTTGCTATTGAGATTTTTGATTTCTTCTTCCGACGATTCGATCTTCACGGACACGTTGTTTTGATAAGCACTGAATTTGTTACGTTCGTTCGATAGCTCGTTTTTTGTGGCGGAAAGGGATTCATGCAGTTGAGAGAGTTCGCCATGCAACTTCTCTTTCTCTACGTTTACGGATTGTATTTCTAATTCTAAATCGTGTATCTTATTTTTTAAGCGTTCGTTCTCCTCCGACATCCTCTCCAAATTCGAACTCAGAGTCTCCGTACGAACCACACATTCTAATTTCGATTCGAGCTCGAGTTCCAATTCAGCCTTTCGGCTATTCACATTCACCAATTCTTTCGTTAGTGACTCGACTCGAGACGAAAATCGCTCTTCTAGTTCGTCTCTCTCAAACTTCAAAGTATTTAATTCAATCTGCATATCCGAAATTCTCGATAAATGTTGCTCCTCATTCACCTCGGATTGTTTCTTGAGCGAATAAAACCGACCCTCGTTTTCTCTCATTTCTTCCTCCATTCTCGAAACTTTCTTCTTCATTTGCTCCTCCAATTCGCAAAGAATCGAAATCTCGACCTTCAAACTAGCAACCTCACCCTCCAAACCCTTCACTCGTGCCGAATTCTTGCTCGTATTTTCCGAATCATCTTCCCCGTATTCCTTATCAAGATTCACAACCACCGTCTTAACTTCACTCGAAGAAGTCAACTTATCTTTCAAAATAGTATCTTCCATATCCGAAGCTCCACCGCTCGTCTCGGTTCTCCGTGCACTCAACTCCTCCGCAGTATAAAACGTCTCCGCATCATTCGAAGAAGCATATTCATCATCGGCATCGTCGGCATCGTCATCATCATCGTAATCATCTCCACCACCAACACTATTCTTCACCTCTCGTCTCAAATCTTCGTACATAGAGTAAAGCGCTTCGTATTGCTTCTCGAAATCTTCGATAAGATGAATCACTTCCGATTTTTTCCTCAAGTTCCTTTCTTTATTACCATGGTTTATGCTCTTTGTCAACTTCAAGATCGTCTTCACTTTCTCCTCGATTTCTGCAAACAAGACCGAAACACGTCAATTCTTGCATTAACTCACCATGTTACAAATTTATTATATACTACACGATAAAAATAATCAAACGGTTGTTGTCGTATATATATTTTTTGTAATAATGCTCATCATATATATCAAGAGATCGATCGATATACAGGACGAACAACTTACTGCGTATAAGTTGCCATTCTGTATACCACAAAAACCCGGGTTGAGGATAACATTGTGCGGGTAATGGTAGATGAGACTTAAATTGCACTCGTTTGGGCTTTAATGCGCTATCCCATATCGGCCTCCAATTAAATTGTAAGGTTTCGGGTTTTAATTTACCTATTTTCATCCATATCATTTGCTCGTCTTTCTCCGCATCGATGTGGTTGCTAAACGACTTCCATCGTTGCTTCGTCATCGATCTCTCGGCTTCTTCGTGTTACTCAATATCAAACTAATTCATTTGCATGCCCCCCTCTCTCTCTCTTAATTCCGCCCTCTCTCTCTCTCTCTCTCTCTCTCTCTCTCTCTCTCTCTCTCTCTCTCTCTCTCTCTCTCTCTCTCTCTCTCTCTCTCTCTCTCTCTCTCTCTCTCTCTTAGGTTGACGAAGCAGTT